GCGAATACCTGAAGGAGGCAGGACCGTCACTCCTGACGGATCGCGCAGGTAGTGTCCAATACAGCCTGCATTGGGGCCGTGGCCTGGAAGCGATCATTGACGGAATAGAGGCTTGTCTTGACAACGGAAGGCGTCGCACACCGGGAGGTGTTGCCCCAGCGGTCATCGTGGTATCATATGCCGGCAATGATGTCTACGGCAACCACGGATTTGTGGGCAACCCTTGGGTGGACACCAACGTGCTCCACCGGAATCCTGCCAAGCAGAGAGCAGCCTATGAGTGGCAGGCAGAGCTGGCACAAAAACACGCCCAGCAGATGAGGCGTCTGGCGGACTTGAGGCAGAGGAAAGATGTGGCAGCCCTGATTGTCATCTGCTACTGCGACTCGCAGAGTTATGGACTGCCGGAAGAATACGCCCGTCAAATGTGCCAGTCAGCGGATGTCTTCACTCGCCTTGGCGTCACGAATGTGACAGGCACCACCTTGGTTCGATCGTGTCAGAGGTATGACAACTTCCACTGCCACAACACCGAGGAGAACCGGGCGATGTTCGTGAAGTTCTACGCTAACGTTGCTTTGTTTGCCTACCACTATTGGGTGCTCGCTGGCGTTGATGTGTTGCGCAAAGATGCGAACCTCTTCGCGAAACCTCGTGGGGAGAAAACCAACCGCCAGTATATGCTTGAGCACATCTGGAAGCGGCGCATTGACTCCGGGTACCTCTTCTTGGGCGACTTTGACGAGCACGATGAGCTTATCCCGGGTCAAAAGAGGCAGACTGCCATCGACCAAAAGAATGGCTGGCTCCTGACGGTCTCTGAGACTACCGAGGTCGCTCACATGGATGATCTTGGGGACCCCGTCTACGCGACTAAGGAGCAGATTGCAGCTGCCAAGCTCTTGCCATTCAATCAGCGACTTTACAATATGCCACGGGGAACCGTTGGTCCGGATTTCTATGACGAGGGTCAGGATGTGCAAGTCCCGGCTGAACCGTCGACGGCTGATCAGACAATGCCGGATGCAAGCGTGCCGGAAGTCATCGAGATTGACGACACCTTTGCGCCCAGCGCTGATTCGCCTCCGGGGACGGAAGGTCGAGATGCAAACAACCAGGCTCCCGTGAGCACTCCGGGCATGGAGTTCGTGTCTGTCACCGCTGATATGCCAAAGCACGGTGACACCGAGGTGGACCCTGTTACCATCACGGAAGAAGAGGAGCTTCATGTATCCAATGAACCCATTGCGGATGAAAACTATGTCAATGAACTTCTCAAAGATCACCTTGACTCCGCCATCAAACAAGGCTTTGAAAACAAAGATCAGCCAGATGATGACTCAGATGAGGAGATCGTATTCAAGGAACCGATTCTCACATCTATGCATGCCGATTCATGTCAGGTCGCCGGGGTAACCTACCAGTTGAGGAAGAAGGAGGATGAAAGCGATGTCATTCGCATCTATATGGCGGAAGAAGACATCCCTCAGCTCACTGGTGAGGCACTCAGGAAGTTCCGTGAGGTTACAACTCTGGGGAACGAGCCCGACCTGGCCAACAAGGCACCACAACCGAGGATCCCAAAGGCGAAGGCATCAGGTGAGCCGAGGGCACCAAAAGTGCCAAGCGAGACTGCAAAGTCGAAAACAAAACCGGCATCACCGAAGGCAAAAGCACGCCCGGCGGGAGCTGAGGCCGATGTTGAAATGAAGCCAACAGAGGAAACTCAGCCCAAAGTACCAAAACGCCCGGCGGGAGCTGTGGCCTCGGATTCGACCCCGACAGCAAAACCAGCTGTCAAAGCCAAGGCCATGCCTCGGGCACCACCGGTGCCTCCCGTTTCGTCGCCTCTTGGGGAAAACGAAGTTGTGGCGTTGCAGTCAAGATCGGTTCCGGGTGCTGCCAATTTGGCGAACCTGAACTCGAAACAAGTCTGGATTTCCCGACGTGTCTCGGGCTTGCTCCGAGGGTGGGAGCATAGTAAACAATCCTGGCACAAGGTGCAGCCTCCGAGCTTCGACGCTGGGCTGTGGATGGATTTTGGCAAGGTGTACTCGTTCATCAAGCGGAAGTACGATGTCAACCTTACCAACGATGAACTGCTGACGGTCATTACATCCAATCACAGATTCATGCTCGAGGTGAGGATTGCGCCAAAGGGGACTTTGGTCGGTGGAAAATACCAATATACACCTCTCCGGATCAAAGCGATTCAGAACCATAATGAATGGTCAAGCAACAACGTGCAGGACGCACTTCCTGAGCATGAACGCTTTGTCACTCTCGACGAGGAGTATACTTCAGTGGAATACCAGGCCGGCAAATTCCCTCGGGTTCCGCGAGGTGCGCTGGGAAAGGTGAAGGAGGTGGCCCCCACCATCCTCTATCACTACACGCACCGGGCAGCACTGGTTGAGATCATCAACATGGGATTGATTCCCGGCGGCAATCGAACTGGAGCCAGGTTCACATTCTTGACGAAGGAAGATCCGTGGACAATTTCGGGCACTGATTATGCAGCGATGGCGGCGACTCGCCCCATCTGCGTTGCCTTGGATCTCCAGATGATGATGTTGAACGGGCACCGGCTCATAGAAACAACTGCTGGTACAATCCTATGCCCTGACTGGCTGGCAAACCGGAACGTGATTTACGTGTATGACATGGAGTCCCGATGCTACGCCTTCGCGAACCATGTGTACGCACACTATCGCGGCATCATTACGGGTGAAAACAAAGCCTTCAATTCAGCACGCACTGGGGGACCAGTTGCCGATGACGATGAAATGGTGAAAAGCCCACTGGAAAAGTACACCTACCAGGTCCTTGGTGACTATGAGAGGTGGTGTGGTAAGGTGGACACTTTTTCCCCATTCGTGTACGGTGAACTGTTTGAACGCCCAGGCGTGAAAGACCAAATGATATCAGCAAAGCAGAATCCTGATTTGGAAACATACGAGGTCACGTATGTCGTTCGCAGGCCCAATTTCAACGCCTATAGGAACCAAGTGTCGCCCAAAGAGATGCTGCCCAACTACAACCGACCTCGGTTTGATTGGCGCAAGATCCACCCCGAGACTGAGGGTTATGGCAACACTCGATGGATGGTCGTTGAGGGCATTCAGATGCCAGAAGATCAGTGCCCGACATGCACACATACCTACACCCATGGCATGATGTCATGCATCACATGCGGCACCTTCCTCAACAATGCCTCGGATCTGTGTAAGGCTGCTCAGCTCATTCGGATCGAGGAAATTGCATCCGATCTCGGTATCGAAGTCACGATGGACATGGTACCTGAGGATAGGCTGCAAGGAACAGGTGTGAGGAGGACGCCGGCGGGGACGCCTGGCCATGAAGTTCAACGTGCTTCTCGTTCGGGCATCAACATCTTGAAAGCGAACGCCAAAAGCCATGTCCAGAAGGCGGATAAAATGTCCATGACAGTATCGCAGCGACAGCTGACTGACGCTTTCTACGCGTTCAACTGTGCAGCCCAGGACCTCTCTCCAATCTGCATTCAATTCCTGGAACGACTATCAGATGCCATCATCCCTGATCCTCCGAGGACAAGGGAAATGATTGCTCGAGGCGTCGGTCATCGATACGCTGGAAAAGTCATCTTCATGAACGAACCAGCAAAAGGGAATGATGCTGACCTGAGCGAGGACTTCTTCATTTATTGGAAGAACAGGCTGCACCGACCTGAGACTTTCGCTGCGGACTATTGTCAAGGTGCGAAACGACCCACAATCCTGGGATTTGGAGGTGAGTGGCAAAGTGAGAAGACAGACCCTGATGATGTATTGGATGAACTCCTGGAATTCGTGATGGGCGATGCTCAATTTGTACCTGGCTTGGATATCAACCTTGTGAAAGAAACAAGGGCACTTGTGATTCCCAAAGCCAAGGCCGCACCAGGTCCAGGTGAAAGTCTGGCCAGAGCAACACGTACTCAAGCCGAGACATCAGAGCATCGCTGGCGAGGAGCTGCCGGAAGTGATCAATACCATGATTGGCAGCAGTCATCCTCATCGTCTTCCTGGTGGTCCTCATCCAACCGCAATTGGTGGCAAGATGATCGCGGTCGTGGCAGTGACTGGCGAGGACATGACTGGTGGAGTCAGCGCAGGTGGTGAACACGACGCACAGCGGGAGCTGTTGCCTGTGGAGAAGAGAATGAAATCTACGGGTGACTCGGCTTTCTTTGTGCACTGTGTTTTTTCCCTCAACGCACCGCGGGAGCGGTTGCCTGGATGACCGTTTCTGTGATGCACCGGGGGGACCGGATGCCTGAAACCAGCAGCTAATTCGTTTGAGTTCAGGTCGATGAACTTGGCTCTCAATCCTTGCAATGAAGAGCGCACATCTTTTGTTGTGTTTTGTCGCCACGCGGGAGCGTGTGCCTTGATGGCTCTGTTCCTGCTTTCTAAAAGGTTGGCAATGCACTCCCAGTTCCGCTGCGCAAAAGAGATTATCTTTGTGAGCTTGCTTTGAACTTTCATGCATGAATCAGTTGAGACATGTTCAACCCTAGCATCAAAGCATGACAGTGCATTATGTGATCCGTCCTTGAGGTCAACCATCCTCTCCATCTCAAGGCACGTTCCGGTTCGATGCTTCGAACGTACCGGGGGACCGGATACCTTCGTAGGTCCTTAATTAGTGCACTGTACATAACTTCACTCCTCCCATTTTCGTTCAGCGGGGGGTGTTGTTTCACGCTAGGATGTCGTATACATGTCTCACTTACCTACCGTTTGGCTCAAGGAAAACCAGGTGCGACTTGTTGGTAGTTCTCGGTCGTTTACCTGTATCTACACTAACGAACCAGGGCTCCTGTCCCACATTCTCAGAAGGTAGGGAACTGACCACCAGGCACCCACCATCACCCACCCCAACCACTGAAGCCTTCCCAATGACGTGCCAACCTTCCATTGCCGTCCTTGGTATGAATTCTTCACCCAACCTGGGCACCCAAGCAGTGTTTACCCGAGGGCATGCAGAAGTACGGCATCAACGGGAGGCGGAACGAATATGTGGCAGCCACTCAGACTGGGGGTCGAGAGACGATGTCCCATAGAATCCGATGGCAATCCCTCTGACTCTGACTGTTGGACAAGGGATGAAAAGAGAGAGGCGGTGTTACGGGGTGGTGTGTGTGTTGTTCTTTTTTAGGCCTCCTCATGTGTTACCTTAATTATATGATGCCCTATATACGGGGTTTGTGTTTTGTGATAATTTTTTGTTCAATGTGTTATCATACTAATTATGCTTGTCAATGTGATTGTCACATGTTGTTATCCGGTGCTGGGCATGCGGCATGCGCTTTGTGGAATCATAGCGCTTGCATAAAGGTGTTCCATACCTCACGATCCCTGAGGGTATTTTTGATGGATGTTAATGTCAATGACACGGGCATGCAATGTATCCGAACGCATTGTAGGTGTTACGGGTTGATTCTGCGGATTTCGACGACTTGTTCTGAATCGCTTTCATGACTCACCATGAAACATGCTAGCTTTGGTGATGTTTGGTGTATTGACCGTGCTGCCTAGCCAGGGGTCGTTTGTCTGCCTAGCCAGGCCAGGCCTTCCCCGCAGTGTCGGTGTCGGTCCCGTGCTGGGCGAGTCGCCGTGCACGTCCGCCTTTGAGGACTTGATTCTCAGCTGTCGAGATGAAGAACTGACAGATTTGAAAAGTATCCTCGACAGCTTCTCGGACGCGTTTTCTTTTTTTCCTCATGCAACACAAATGGTGGCTGGTGGGGCGTGTTTGCGTCGCAACCTGGGGAGGTCTTTTCATACATGTAAAACGAACGAAGAACCCCAAAGGGTAGGACCATGGTTGGGACCGGACCTGGGCGAAGGGAAGATGGTCTCCGGAGCGCGGTGGATTAGTTTTTTTGTAGTCGGTGGATGTGTTTTTCTACCTGCTATAGTTGCAAGTAGATGACCGGCAAAACTCGGCTTCTTGATGCCCTCCCGGCAATGAAGCAACTCCAGGCTGTGGCCGATCCAGACCAATGCTTGGTACAGTTGGCAAAGATTTCATGACTGCAGGGGGGTCCATGGTTCGTGAAATTTCGTCTGACCAGGGGGGGGCTCTCCTTATAATTAAGTGTTCAAAAACATGTCGCCGTTCTTTCGGACTGACAGACCGGGGTGAGACACTTGCGACTGACACTTGCGACCCAGCCCGCTTGGACGGCGCTCAAGAAGTGGAAACTTTGGAATCAATTTTCTTGTAGGGTGCCACCCTCCGCTGTGCGCAACCAGTCGCAGGATTGGACGCGACATGCCAAGATCCAATGTGCAAATCTCATGACATTTCTCAAGCCACTATGGAGATGAGGCATGCACTCACACAGATTAGGGCGAACCAAAATGGTGCGGGGTCTAGATTCCTCAGACCTCTCCTTGTTCCCTGCAGGACATCTGATTCATGTCATCCTTTTGCAAGTCCTACCCCTCGTGTTGAGGCACTGGCGACTACAACTGCCGCTCAGAAGAGGGTCAGTTCCAGTAGCCGAGACATGGTGGGGCCCAGGATCTGAGGGTTGCCGTAGCAGATGCCACCCCTGAGCCCCAACCGCAACTGCAGCATCACCAGCCCAGCATCTAGGCAGAGACCCAAAAAATAGAGCTTGCCGTTGGGATTTTTGTTGCCCCACTGTGGTTGCCAGGCTGCAGCCGAGCGAAAAACCACTGTGGTTGGAACAAACGACCGTTTTCTTCCCAATTATATATATATGTCCTTTTTTGTGGTCAGCCTGGTGGTTTTCCTGAAGAAGAAGCCCGCTCGCGTTGACCACCCCATTTTCTGGTGCCTTTTCGGTGTAAGGTGGCCTCGTTTCAGGGCTCGTATCCACGAGTTCAGATGATCAGGATCGTAAACAGGAGAAGCAGGGAAACCAAACTCTGAGATGCTATGAGCGGAAAACACCACTTGAACTGGCCTCTGTCATCCTCCATCCCTTTGGTTTCTTTCTTTTATGGCCCTTTGATCACCAAGCTGCGGTAGTTGATGTCTCCAACCCTCCCAAGATGCCATGGTGAAACCCTTCACGTGGAGGATCCGGTCGAACGCTTTCGAACCGGATCGGTCGACCGACGCCTTCCGAACGCTTCTCGTATGCTCGGGGAACCATCGATCCCATCCTGGAAACCATGGAAAGCCACCAGTCTTCACTGGGGCCATGCCATCCACTTTCATAGTTGGTCAGAGTGCATGTGCGGGAGCTCTCGACTCATGCAGATCCGTGTCCCAACACCAAGGCCTTTTCAAGTTGATCTACAACGACCTTCGCTCCTCTGCCGTGCGGCAAAAGGTGCGTTCGTTCCGCTCCGGCCGCCGTGGCGGGCGGTGCGCAACTGGCACTCACCGTGGGGGATCTCCATCCATCGTTCTCCATCCGTTCTCCTCGGGACGTCGAGTCGCTTCGCTCGGGCCTTCGGCCTCGCACACGGCGACGGTGTCACGGCGCTGTATACCATTCGCCCCATCCGCTCCGCGTGGGGCAGGTGCTGTACCATATCGCCAAGGAGGCACATGCAGCCAGGAGCCCGACACATCGAGCGTGGTTTTGGGGATGTTGGGAAAGAATTGGCGCTACAGAGACTGACAGCGGCTGAAGATCGACGGTTTAAATCGGTTTAACAGAATTCATGGGTTTGCAGGAGGTTTGAGCGAAAGGTTTTTGGATGCGTCCACCCTCGTCCGCAGTGAAATACTGTAGAACGATGTCAAACCTGTCAAAACTGAATTATTGATCGCTGGCTTGATACTCAAAGATACTCAAAGCCCACCTGTTTGCTTGATTTGCTAGATCGAGGGTGGGCAGGGATACTATATATTTGGAGTTGGAGCAGAAAGTTGTAGGTTGTCGGATTTCTTCGAGCTGGTCTTGGTTAACCTTTTGCCTTGGGGGGGACCGTACATCGCAAGTTGCGTTGAGACCCAGGGCCCTTGGTCTCCCCGTCCATCCACGACGCACGACGCGCCTGACGCGCCAGTTGCGCAGCAGGATGATCAACTCTGGAGCTGTTGGAATCAAGGTGGGCCACCGGTCAGCGAAGCTGGTCCGCGGGGCTTCGCTTGGGATCGATGAAGCCTTGTGTAAGCCTCAGTGTAGTGTAAGCCGGGGTGGTTTGGGCAGACGATGTAGAAGAAATCCGTACCGTACATCCAGTTATTCTATATGATATTCTGAGTTAGACACCCGTAGCTGGGTTTGGAAGAGACTAAATGCACATGTCCTCGGACGTCCTGCACCTCTTTAGGATTCTTTAGGCATTATGGCAAGTTCCAAGATTGATCTAAGGGTACATGGATGGACAGGGGAGCGCACACCACAGTTCTGGCAACCCAAGTCCACTCACATGTCCTTTCGCATTTTTTGAGACGCTTGGCACTGCGAACCCCCAGGCCCCAAGAGAGATTTGGTGACGTGGATGATTTGAGAGGCATGATCTTTGACACAATGACCCTCAAAACTATTGAGTCATATCTACATATTATCTTCAAAACACTTCTATGATCCCTTTGAGATCACTTGGGACGTCTTGGAACCAATTTCTAAATCACCGCTTGGCACCGCTCCGCAATCTGCCATGTTTCGGGTTGGTGGTCTCCTTCTTACGTCATCCCCGTAGGTTCTGAGCGACATCGACGACACCTTGCTGTGTAGCGGTGGCCACTTCCCGGCGGGTCTGGTTCTCGGATGTGAAAGCTGGAGAATGGGGAGGTTTGGATGAGATCCTTTAAGTAGGATCCACCAAGCACACAACAAAATAGTCCAAAAGGCATGACTCGACCCCACCATTTGATGATCCTTGATGAATGATTTGTGTGAACGACATCCTCCAACAGCTTGGATGCTTGTGAGCCAGTTTTAAATTAATTGGGCACTGGCACTGATCGAGTTTTTGTCATTAAAGTAACGTGATTGAAAGAAGCATATGTTTCTTCATTCTTCTACACCAGCAGTTTCTATTCACAATTAATGTAGAATGTAGAATTAAGGAGTGATGCCTTGTAGAATGTAGTTGATTATATGTTACTTGCGTTGATGCTTGGCAGGGTGACTCCCAAACATGAGCGTTTGGAGTTACTTTTTGATGGACAAGCGCATGTTGCTTGGGCTGTGAACCAGATGTGCCCGGACGCCTGAGGTTGTGATGATCGGACGCTTGGAGATCGGGCCGGGGCAGGGCTTGGTGTGGAGAAGAGCCGGAGGCGGTCGCTTTGGTCAAAGCGAGCATTGCAAAGGAGTGATGTGGCATCATTGAGAACATGTCGTTCGTACCAGGGTTTCACAGTGTTTGGGCTGATCAGAAGCCATTTGTGGTAAGCACTTGCATAGATTTGCACACACACGAGCAGCAGGCAAAAGGGTTCAGCGTGCATGAAGAACATGAACTCGTCCAGCATGTATGAATTGATTCCTTCTTACTTCCTTGCCAGTGACATATACACATGTCAGCACATGTCTATCTCATAGAAATGAACAAACATAAATATAAATCAACACCAGCAGGAACATGCGTCCGTTTAGCAGAATGAACGCTTTGTGCCAACGTATTTTGCGAAGCATCCCCACCCTTCCCTTCTGGGCTTCACCGCGTGTGTTACATTACGCGTGGTGCGAGCTGAGAGGCGCGAAAACTCTGAGGATTCCAAAGCACATGGTTTATCCTGGCGCACTTCAACTCTTCCGGGAACTGGACAGGACAGAGAAAGCATCGGGTTCACGGTTCACGGGTCGACAGGAGTGTGAGACATGCAGAGCGCCACAAGCTGACCCTTTGGGGACTCAGATCGAAGCTGACATCCATTACACTCCTGGGAATCATAATCGAAGTGGAAAACCACCTGTTTGTAGAGGAGCATGGTCAATCATGGTCATCCAAGACCATTTTCATCCATTTTCCATTTCCATGCATGATGGTTCCAGAGAGTGTAAATCCGACCCCCAGGAGAAACAAATCAAGAAAGCGTGCAGCATGTGTCAAAATCATAATTCTTTGTCATTGCCTCTCACAACTCCAATTTTTTCACGAGGAACTTCGCCCTCCTTCCCTCCCTTCCGTACCCATCTCATGACCGATGCCCTATAAGCCCTAGGCCTTGGAAACAACGAGCTCCGTCTCGGCGCTCTCAGCCTCAGGAGTTGGACGCCGGAGGATCCCTGCTGCAACTTGGCGCTCTTGTCTGCTCGGCCCCACGTCTACAAGGAGCCGAGCGGGTCGATGGTGTCCACCGCGGTCGTGGCGAGGGGCGTGGAAGAGTGAGACCTGCACGTGCGATGGTTAGCATTATATAATCGACAATAACAGACATATGCGAGTAACTAGTAACAGACTATAGAAGTAAGCTATAGTAAGCAGTTTTTTTCGATTAAGTTCATGCTGAAAACCCTTAGTAAAGCTGGGAATCGAGCAATTGAAACAAGCGTTTGCTAGCCTGTGTTCAGCCGCAATCCGGGTCGATGGTGCAAAGAGGACATCTCAGAGAGCAAGGCTGGCTGCTGATTGAGGCTTATGTTGAAGCAGGAGCAGAACCTGGAAGTTGGTTGGTACTGTAAGCAGGAATGCCGCAATGCTAACCCCATTTCCTTCTTAGCGAGCAATGAGCAAGTACTTGCAAGAGCTTGGAGCATTTGGAGTACCAGGCATAAGGAATTTGTTTTGACACAATCATTTGCTCGTTTCCATTCTCTTGGCTGTGCTTCTCACGGTGCTTGGTGTTTTGTGTCCGGATTGCCTCTGTCCTTCCTCCCAAAAACCGTGTCGTTGTGGAACCATTCCGCGCTGTACACCTGTCGCCCGTCGTTTGGCACCCCGCCAGAGCTTCGCCAAGTTCAACGACCTCTTTTTCACAGGAGACGTCACTCGGGGTACGTCACGGGAACACGGCCGAAAGCAGAAGCATGCAGAAGCGTGGATGTGCCGGGCAGGCCACCGGAGTAGCTTGCATCCGGATCATCCTAAGTTCGACACGGGGGGGGTTCTGTAACCCCTAGGGGCTAGGCAAGAAGCTGGATTCAACTCCCCATGTTCAGAGATGTTCAGCTTGCAGATGCAAATCGAGACCCAAGTTCCCTTTGATTGAACTGCCAGGACGGTTGCACTGTGCTTGGCACTCAGTGCTTTCAAGCGGAGGAAGTGGCTCTTTACAGGTTGGTTTAGTGTTTCAGAATCATGGTTTACTTGCAGCTAGGCTGAGAGCCAAACCCGCCAGCCACACACAATAATTAATTATCAGCAATTACAATTGATGGCTTTGGTAATCAACAACTTCGAGGATCCATAGCTTTCAGGCGTGAGTCCGTGTGCAGCAGACCAGTTGACTAGCAAACCATGATGGATGATTTTTGGCCTCTATCATTCTCATCCCCAGATAAATGAGTGGTGCTTGTCCCACTGGGCTGGCGTACTGCACTGGTTTAGGGTGAAGATCCTACTAATTATGGATTAATAGTTGCGGTTGACGGGGTAAGCCCTGCTAGAGAGGGAGAGAGAAAGAGAGAAGACCGTCCAACGTGACATCCTCCTTGTGTCGTCATGTCCCAGCATAACTGGATGGTGGTTTCAGATGTTGTTTTCAACCTCTCCTTGGAATGATTGAACCCACAGACTTGTATACTTTCAAGTTGTTTCCAAGTGAGTTGAAGCCACCAAACAGATCATATATATATATAATATATATATATATATATCTATCTATCTATCTCCACGGTGGCTGTCTCCTTTCTGTTTTCGCTCACTCCCAGGTACCCACGCTGCTGCCTGGTTCCCTCTCCTTGGGCCTTTGGGCCGTCGTGAAGGCCGGGAGACCCGGTCTCTCCCCGGGGAGCCGACTCACCAGAGCCGCGCTTCTTGCAGGGGGACCATCCAAGGACCCTCCAAGGGGTGCCCTGTCTGGAAGCCGAACGGCCGGTAGTGTGGGGTAGTTCAGCCAGGACACCCCCGACAGGAGGGTCCTGGTATCTCAGAGTTCCGTTTGGCACATGACTTGGGCGTTTGGGGACATCTAGAAGGTTTACAGTGGGTTCAGAGTTGATGGCGCAATCCCCAAAAGGTGGTTTATGAGATTATGAGGACCCCCATATACAAAACATTTTTTGGGTTTGTGCAATCTACTCTGAAACCAAACCACTGTGTTTGTTTGGTTGGCTGTTGTAGGTGGGATGTTTTAGGCATGCAAGGAGTTATTCATTCGGTAGTTGTTTCCCAGTTTCTCCTTACAATGATTGCAGTTCCACTGGACAAAAGTTCCATTATGTTCCATTCCATTGAGGAAAAAACCCACCTTCCGTGCTCCACTCTGATTCTCTCGCTCCGCTGCCCCTCGCTCGTTGGGCCGCGCCCCGGGAAGCGCAGCCAGGCGCTCTTCATCGCGGCGCATGGCTGGCGGGACGTCGGGGAGCGGAAGGCCAAGATGTTTGAGCAGTACAAGGCCCCCAGCGATGTCGGCGCCGGTTCCACGCGCCTCCCGGTGGGTCGGTACGGTGGATTTCGGGGCAGAAGGCAAGAAGGATGCGAGACCGGCGCCAGATGGAGTTGGTTTCTATGGCTCCTGAGGGTTCCGAATCTTCTCCGGGGCGCCCTGCCGAAGCCCCCTCGTGCGCGCCGAAGATGTCGATGGCAGCTGGTCCAGTTGCCGCTTGCGCGGATGCAAAGAGGAGCTGCATGTTCTTTGGCTGGAGAGACTCCTCAGGAGACGGATCAACGCGGTCTTGGGGGGGATTCTCAGGATTGACACCCAAAGCTAGCCAGCAGCAAACTGATAATATGGTTTATTATGGATTCCAGCAGAAGGAGGAACATGCATCAGGTGACCTGATCCCCAGATCCTCGAAAACGAATGCCTGTCCCGACTCTCCGATTCCTATGCCTTGGGTGCGTGCGACAGGCCTTGTATGGCGAGTACGACTTCATTTTCTTCGGTGACAATGGCCAGGCACAAAAAGACACTGTCAGAATCGTCCCAGACGTCCCAGATTGTGTTTCTATTTTAATCGGGGTTGTGTATATAATCGCTTAGAAGCTGATCGAAGTTCTTCGGATGTCAACAGTAATTACATCAGAGGCCCTCAGCATCGTGAATGTTCTCAAAAAAATAGTCCTTCCGGTTTTGCAGGGGCCTTTAGAAATCGAATCAAGATGAAACCAGTAAGGGTCAAGGAAGCCTGGCTGCAGGAACTCCAATTTCAATTACTGTCTTTCGGGCTCCTCAATCCTCAATCCAAACGATTCAACTCAGGTTCCACAAACCCGGCGTGAGCACTTTAGATGGAAGACCTGTTTGAGTCTTGACCACCTACCATGCTGCAGGGCGACTTGTTGGCGGGTCAGCTCTTGGTCAACGCTGAGAAGGCAGGGTGCACCCAGGGTGCAATCAGGGGTGCCTGGCTATTGCTTTGGGTGGTGAGCACCTGTAGATTCGGACATGAATTTAGGACGACTTTTGCTCTTATCATGTGGATCATGGTTGGAGAACTGCGGACCACCGAATGATCCTTTTGGAAGCTTCGCCATGCAGGCAGAGGAGTTGGGCATGCGCATAGGAGATTGATCTTTCTCTCTCCCTCCCTCCCTCTCTCCCTCTCTCCCTTCCTCTCTCTCTCTCTCTCCCCTTTGTGTGTGTGATATTTTCTGAACGAAGGGCCAATGAAGGATCCATAGGTCTGTTCTCAAAAGTTCGTCGGAATCCTCCACTTTTGCCTTTTCATCTCATTCTTCTGGCCATGATTCTTCATCTTGCCACTCTTCATGGTTCACTTCTTCCTCCCACCATTCATTGTGGTCGTCTTCACCATAGTAGCCATCTTCTTCCATGTCTTCACCAAGTCCTTTCTCCACCGAACATCTTCATCAATGCTTTGTGTGCTTTCTCTAGTCCAAATCCCCTTATATAACACTGCCTTTACCTGAACATGGGTCCAGCAGGGGACTCCAGCAGGAGTCAACAAATGCCAACCACTGAGCAATGCTGGGACATCAACACCGACATCTCGCATACGTTTGACCAATGTCCTGTGCCAAACCAAAATATCCTGTCATGTCTTCGTTCTATCTCTGAAACTCAGCAAAAAAAACTCTTCACAACGGGAAGGCACTCCGACTTGTTGCTCCTACTGATACAGGCTGCCCAGGAAGGATCTCATAAAGTATAAATGGTCTTGGGTGATGTTTTGTTAGTTATTTCGTGTTGCTTCATGTGGAATCCGATCGCGCACTTGTGACTGCAAAATTCTGCCCAGCTCATCCCAGCTCAGCATTGTTGATCCCAAAGAAATGACAGAAGAGTGGGTGCTTCCTATAGATCTATTTACTCCATTTTACTCCCTGATGCGTTGAAAGCTAATTTGCCTTTAGCCAACCCAACAGGTCATCCAGCAGCTGAAACGGGAAGTTTGGTCAATGTGTTTTTTTCTTTGCACCGCGTGAAACAAGAAGGCCGAGCATGAGAACCCAAAAGCTCACCTTCACAGTCACCTTCACATCTACACAATGACCAGTCTACATACGATGCCTTAATACTTGTACACACGTGATCTCAAGCAATTGGGTAGTGTTTCTTCGGATGATTCCAGTTACTGAAGATACGCACCGTTTTCCACAGGAGAACATGCAAGCTCAGAGCGAGGCACGCAGCGCTGATCAGGTCGAAGTTCTTTCCCGGTCGGGTGGGAACTGCCGGGGCACCTGAGGCTGCTCAGGCTCCCTTGGCGGATGTGTTTGGTGATGGACATGTTATATAATGTTAATATCACTTCGCCACTGATGTTCTCCCACCAGTGCGATTCTTCACCAGAGGGCCCCCCATCTTCACACACCTACTCTCCGCCTCACATGGAAGTGGAGGACCTGTTCGTAGAGGTGGTCCACTTCCGAATGTGAGTGGGGGTGTAGAAGTGATCCAGCACTTTTGCAAGTCACCGGTGTAGCAAACCCTTACCAAAAGTATCCAAAAGTGCTTTGCTACACCAATACGTACCATGTTCAATCACCTTGGTACAGCAAACCCTTGGGGGAATTTGTTGGGTTGAAGCCCTAAGGCTCCAAGTACCTTCGTTTCGAAGGTGATATAGAGGGTCCAGTCATAGCTTCGTTTCGGAAGTATGATTGGAGCCCTAGGGCCCTAGGGTTGGATTTGACTTCATTCAATTCACTCCTTGATGCCCATCCCTCGACCTCTTTCGACCTGGGATCCAACGCCACCATACGCCACCTCTTCCTGCCTTGCTGCCTTGCTGCCATTGCCTGAATGCACCCCAACAACATGCAAGTGAGGACAACTCCCCTGTTCGTAAAGGGGACCATGGTCTTCACAGGGGCCGTTTTCCACTATTATATGTGAGTGAGTATGAGTGTATTCCAACTGGAACTATCCATCATTCGCACGGGTCTGTGTCCCTACCACGACCGGACCGGCCTCTTCCAATTGATGAGAACACCACGACCGTCTACCTTCGCTCCTTCCGCTCCTTCCGGCGCTCCGGTGTCCGTCCTCGGTGAGGATGAGGACAGCAGCGATGGCGAGCCAGCCCTTCGGCGAGTTCGGTCAAGACCTGGGGAGTTCGGAACGACCAGGTAGCTCCGGAACGACCGGACAAGACGTGACCCACAGGCAGATGGTTCGGAGCTTACATCGTCCATCATCGTCCAAATGCCTCGTGGTTTAGATGTGGATGTGGGATCAATACCGGACTTTGGTTGACCTCTCTTGTGAGATTTCGGCGGCTTCTGTGGCCACTGCAGCGCGGGGAAGTGGCATCTATCACTTCTAATTGACCTGTTCTTGCAGTAGATGTCAACTTTCATAGGTGATCATGCTTGGTTGATCATTGACAGATGTTTTACTCCATGGACGCTCCGGCTCCTTTGGGTCTCTACAAGGAATGCTCAGCAAGCAAGTAGAAGCCCCGGACGGCAGCGTCAGGTGTAACAAGCCACGTGCGTAAACGTGAGCCGGGTGGGAAAGGGGCAAATTCCGCAGGAGTTCAAGAAGCACATTGAAGAACCAATGAATGGCCACGGTAGACCATTTATTGAAGGTGAAGGAGATGGACAAAACATGATAACACACCGCTTGGCATTTGGTATTGTTCTCTTTGCTGGAACTAATTATTAGGCTATTGTATGAGTCGGTGTGTGACTTGAGCTCACGGGTGTTGAATCCCATGAAATGCTCGTTGAGCTCGGTGGGCAAAGGTGGGCCAACTGAACCTCAACAGGCATGCAGAGAACATGTTCACAGTTTCACATATCAACATCTGAACACATGTTCTTGCCGTATGTCCTCCCACAAGGTGTGAACACCCTACTGGCACTGTTAGAAAGACTAACCCTTGGTGGCTGAATGTGGATGACAACATTTCACAGAAACATGGGCACGATTCTTCACCTCACTGGCTGGTTCCGTCCGCTCATCACTCACCAGGGTAGGTCTAGGAACGCCTTTGGGCAAAAACCACGCCAATCTGCCATTTGCTCCTGCTAAGGCCAAGTCCTTTGGCTTTTGCTGCTGCCGAAGGCGCGTTGGGCAATCGGGAGGCCCAAGCGTTGACACGCACGGGTTGTGCTTCACGTGGCCTAACTTTGCTTCTTTGTTTGCCCTGAAGTTGACAACAGAGACTCACCCACATTAAAATGAAAAAACACATTTGCGAAGGAGAATGGTGGAAGAATGTTGAACAAATCGTTCTGGAAGCCATGCCATCCACGACGGAGTGTATGTCATTTTCCTTCCTTTGCCTTATCTGACGCTTCACAGACTCCAGACTCTGCCGAGCACATTTGGCCAGGAAGAAGGCCGACAGAACTTGGACTTGGAAGCGCGGGCAAGGCGCGGGCGAGATCGCAAAAAAACGATCGAAGGGCGTTTTTTCGACGGAAGTGGCGAAAGGAAAAGCCCAACCATGTAATAATAGAACAAAACGGGATGAGGGTTATGATGTTGAATGATGTTGATATATATATATATATGTATTTATAGGTATATTATATGTGCATGTCATTATGTATGTTGATATTTGTTGATGTGCATTTTGCAAGAGAACCATTTGTGTTATATGGTGGTTTTCATGCATCGATCGCATTGAAGTGGAATCGATTTCCCCGGCATCGATCCGCCCCTTCGCCTTGGTGTCCCGGTGGGGACATGAGACATGGAAATCCACCATGGGCGTGGAGACAGATGTGGATGATGTAGATGATGTAGCTGGTTCATGGCACACTTGGACTCAATGACATGCTTGTTTGGAGCCTACAACTTGGCATGGTCATGGCCAGATGTAGGAGCCCAAGAAGGGTTCTTTTGAGCAGCATTTGATGCAGCACTGGATGGATCACATGATTGGTGTTCCAGACCCAACCTCCTTTCGCATGAACAACATGGCAACAGCCATTCAAGCATCGTATCATAGGCATAAAAAGGGCCTTGTTTGTTTGGGTTTCACTCAGTCTGACCTTTGGCACCATTTTACCACCAAGAATGCTGACCTGAGACCATGTCCAAGTGGGGACAACCCACTTCACCGGACTCGAGTTCACCCGCTCCGAACCACCGGTGAATCGACCGCGAGGTCCGCAGCTCAAGGCAGTGATGATCCATGAGGCGCGAAGCAGATGGAAAGTTGGACCAAAGAACTCATTCGGGTTTGCATGGTTTGCCCAGGGCTTTCCATTTGAATGCCCATGGTTTCCCATCTGCGAAGTTCTGAATGTTCATGGATGGTGGCCAAGTTCTAGGAACTAATCCTGTCCACCTATTTAAACAAAATCACGGCCCCCCCCCCCTATTAAGAAAACTTTGGTCGCATTTGTTTAATATCCCTGAAATCGGGGTGGTCCAAAATAGGGTCACCTGGAAAGAGCTTCAAAACCAAACAGTCACCAGGAAAATGTTATATAACATCCTTTGTTAAACTCGTATCAAAAATTCAAAAAACCTCAAGATCGAAGGGTCTTCCTGTTCCCCTACAAAAACCTTATTGGTTGTTTTTGGAACCTAATTAGACAATAACAAACAACATTTGGCAATGTTGGTAGTTTAGTAGCGGCTTTAAAAAGGGCAGTAATTTAAAAACAAATATAAACCGTATTTAGGGGGTTCCGATATGATTTTGTGTTTTTAAATTGGGGTCCGTTTTTAAATTGGTACTCGGGATTATATGGATGACCATGGAACATGTTGTAGAGCGATCTCTTCCCACGTGCAGAGCCACATCGAGGAAAAGGCGAGGCAGTGAAGCATAGTAGTGAATGCATTCCATGTTTCTTCCTTTGCAGTTTGAAGATTTCGCGCCACCCCACACTGTATGTAGGGTTATGGATGAAATGCCATTAATGTTAATGGGCATTCCCGACTGCCATTTTCCTCAACACAACCTTTCTCATTGTCCAAACAACCTCAACTGGCGACTCCCAAAGCAATGTCGACGACTTCGATTCAACTTCTTGCAAATGTTGCCGGACCGATTTCAACAAAGCCAAAGAACCGGAAGAGAGATTCAGCCCTCACAGAACTGCCAAGAAGATGAGCAAGCACAACATGGTGGAATACGAAACCCATCAAAATCCCTCCCTAATATAAATACAGCTGTATATATATATATTATATTATAGTTAATAATAGTTATATGTTTGCATGCGACGTATTTTTTGCTCCAGCAGATCAAGCAGTGACATGGTCAGAGAGAACTTGGCAAGGTCCTACTTCGGGTCATCCTGCCCAGCCAGCAACTGTTGTATGGTTGGGGGGAGCCAACACACACCTTTTTCGATCCTGCCAGGTGCTCCCGGACGAACAATCTTTGAGCCTGGAGCCCTTGGACCAGCGAACGGTGACCTGGAGGCCGCTGATGGAGTTCCGGTCGATGGCAGCTGATTGGATGGGAGAGAAGAAACACGAGCTATACAGTACCTGCTCATTGTGGGTGATTCAGTGGTGTTACAGTTACTGTATGACGAATTTAATGGGGCTTGAGCCCGGGTAGGAATCCTAATGCATTTCCCCTTGGCCAACTGTGAAGATTGTCAAGTGGAAACCCTAGCGTAACTTCCCCACAATCACTCCCATGCATCAGGGTGTGTGGAGTTGCAAGGGCTCCTGCACAAGTGGTTGCCAGGCAGCAGTTGGAAGCTTCTGGGATTTTCTTTTTCACCAGCTTCTCGGCATGCAAAAGACGGGAGAACAATGACGGTGGCTGAATGCATGTGCTGCATATATGGTCATATTTGGTCCTTGCATTTACTGTATAATTCGTTGGATGCCCAACTCACAGCGACCACCAACATACTTGGGTTTCACCTCACTATATTTGATGCTTTTTGGTCCGGTCGTTTGTCCATCAAACGGCTTTCAAAAGGCTGAAAAGAAGCTGATTTACGCTACACCACTGTCGAGCGCGGCGCCAGATAGAAAAGGAGACCAAGCAAAAGACCGAATCTTAAAGCCTTGCAACTTGGATGGTTGGGAATGGATGAACCGAAGGTGTTCCAAACACAATCCAAGCAAAAGACCAAATCAAAACTGTTTTTGGAACAGCTTCCAAGTGTCCAACACCAGAGTCACCAGAGGGATTGGAAAGCAAGAAGAACTCGCATGAAGAAGTGGTTGGTTGTCACTGAGCGGTTGTTGAGAAGCGGTCTGGGCTATGGATTCCTACTGTTTTCAGGAGGAATCCTCCCATTTCATTTCACGAAAATGTGAGTCCCCTGGAGCCTGGAGCTGTCACAAACTGTGACGAAGGTGGTTTTTGGATGTTTTGGCACCCATGGATGGCCTTTTACTATTTATTGGCTGGTGGATGAATTGAGTGGATACCCCCCCCCAAATGAATTGGAGCATATGATGGTACTTGGTACCACATCGACCCCTCTTGTGTTCCCTTATTGGTATAGCACCTCCATCAACAAGAGTCATGTCATTGAGCTCGCAACCCGAGGTTATCCAGATGCCGCGCTCAAGCTGCATCAGAGGCATCCGAACCTGATCTCGATCAGCAACTCGGCACAGAACTGTTTGAAACGAGAGGAGTTTTGTAAGAATAGCTGATCCCAACTGAAGTGATTGTACTATGCTCAACTATGCGGAGTTTGGTGATGGGATGTTGTATATAGTTTATATAGTATTATTCTACTAGTTTTCTAGTTGTTGTTCACATGATGTTTTACATGACTTCACGGTTTAGTCTACTTAGTGCTACTGACGTTTTTTTTGGACTTCACCCAATTATATACTACTGTAGCTTCCTCGAAGACTAAGACTAAGACAACGGCTTTGTATACAAGTGGGGGCACGTTTCCTGGTGGCCATGCAAATTGTTTTTCTCCTTGTCCTGGCGGACTCTCAGAAGTGTTTACCAGCTGCAGCCAGCTGTTCAGAGGAGCAAAAACACTCTGAGTCACTAACATGGAACTGGAATGAACTGGAACATGGTTCCTTTCGAGACTACTTTCCTTTACGAGCAGTGGCTTTTCCACTTGCATGTTAGTCGGAGTGTGAATTGATGATATTTCCTCACTTTGAAGGCCTTAGACGAAGGGTAGCGCGTGACTATTTACGTGAGGAGCCAGCCTCTCATTCGACCACGAAAGCTCCACCCAAATCAGAAACCCATGGTCCAATGGTGCCGACGTTCCGACTTTTCAACTTGACCGATGCCCTGTCACAGCCTGCGTGGCAAGTTTGAGCCCATGAGGACAGCTGCGGAGCGTCATCGAGGAGAGAGCTGGGGTTGGATTTGGGAGCCCCCACCGTAGACACTCCCGCAAACTGCCATTTTCCGAATACCAACCCAGTGGTTTGGGGATTCCATGTTAATCTGCAGGGAAGTAGACTGCAAAATTTGAGGTCTAGAAGACTGAGAGTCAGAGATTGCATGAGATTGCTGCTCGCAGGTTGCGTTGGTTTCAGTGTAGTTAGCGCAATCCCCAAGTTCGGTGATGTATATATGGATCCCCATCTAAAGGACATCTTGGGGTCTGTGCCTGCCATTTTTCCTGATTCACTTAGAATTTAGACATCTTGCCGGTGCGGCATGCTGTAGACATGTTTGTAGACTTGGCCATCAGACTTCGGGGCGGAGATGGTGTGAACCACCACTTGGGACTAGGTGCATGGATGCTTCGGGACGCCAAGTCCAGCCTGATCGAACTACGGTCGCTAGCGACCCTGATCGAACTACGGTCATAGGTTCCTTTCCGCAAACGCACTGCATGGAATGGGTTTGGGAAGGGATGCAGACCGACACCTAGTCCGGAAATTCTAGACATGAATACCACTGGTCCTAGTGTTTCCCGACGGAATGTCGCATTTCCCTGCCTGTAGACCTACACTGTGGCAGGAAAGGTCCCAAGAAACAGTAGCATTACTGCGCTTTTCAGTGGAAGAAGTGCTCCACCGGATCCCTCAAGTGGAGTCATTTTGGTTGTCCAGCCAAGAGGCATGGCTGCCTGAACAAGAACCCTGGACCCGTGTCATCCATGCCAACCCTAAAGGCAGGTAAGCCTTATTGGTCTTCGCTATGACCGAACCCATGTTCTTTGAGGCGGCCATCACAGACTTCGACCATGACCGAAAGCGCCCAGATACTATTCCGGATGGATTCCGCAGGGAGCAGGGAGATGGAGGAAAGGATCAGCCAGAAGCAGGAATAGTTCAGAAAAAGAGGTCTTGAGGCAGGAGCCAGTCCAAAAGTTTTGATTGGAGATCAATGGCATTTGTTGGAAGCTCAAGTGTTTCCTCCAAGCACACAGGATCGCGCATTGCAGCATAAGACCAGCAACTTACCCCATTGATATTTGGAGTGTTCGGTGACGCCTCAATCAGGAGCACTGTCATAGGCCTCAAACTAGTCGCTGCCTGACCCATAGATGGCCTTGGTATCCATTGGTTGCTTGATGAATTGAGGGGATACCAGCAAGTGAACACATATATGATGGTATGGTACCACATCCACCACATATATGACTCCCATGGTCGGACATCGTTGGCCGGATCTCTTGGAAACCTCCACTGGGTTGGCCGTGGGAAGTGCTCCAAAACGAAACCGTTTGAAGGCGGAATTCCTTCGAATTCCTTCGGATCGATCTCGAGGTTTCTGGCGGAATGGGAGGATTGGGGCCACATGGAGGCCATCTTGCACAAAGATATCCAACGAGCCTCGGCCTAAAAAATGGGCGGTTGCTAACACATCTCCACACCTTTTGTTGGCTCGCTTGTTTCTTAAAGATTCTGATTTAAAAGCACATGTTCTTTTTTACATTCCTATTCCTAGTGGAGCGCAATTTTGTTCCATGGTCCATGCTTGCCTTTCTTTTTTTTTTTTTCTCTCTCTCTCTCTCTCTCTCTCTCCCTCCCTTTCTGGTAGCCACTTTTGAGATGGCTCAGATCAGTGGGCTTTGGCCCAGATCCATCTTTGGCACACAAAAAAAACGGTCGAACAACACAGTTGAAACGTGAATCCTCTGGTGAATGGGTGGAATTGCTGGGGAACCGGTCGGGTGGAACCAGTCGGAATGGCCGGGTTCTTGGGTTGATTTTGTTGCACTGAGCGGCGTTCTTTTGGGGGTCACCGAGGAATGTGCGCCGGAGCAGAGGTAATTCGTTCTTGACTTGGGCGACTTTGCCAATTGATCTATTTAAACATGTTATATATATAGTATAGTATATATATACACATACATATAAATACACAGCGCAGTTTGATGGGGCAGAGTGTATAATTACTTCTGAAACCTGGTAGGTATACTGGTATACATAGATATGTACGTAGGTATAGTCTACTTGACTGTCTGCTGAGCAGGAACCTCCTCTCTCCGCAGCATCCCGGACTGCACAGACCGATCGCCAGGTGCTTGCGAGGTGGTCGCAGCAGGGGGCGATCCCTGTCAGCTGGTCTTCAAGGATTCTTTTGGAACACCTGGCAGACTCGGGAGATCCATTCTAAGCTCAGCAACAATAGTAACAAAGAACAAATCGAACGAGTTTTAATCTTAAAAGGATCCGGTTTATCAGAAATCCGACTCAAGGATGGCTCAAAAGCACAACAACCCCCCCCAATATCATGCCCACCGTCCGGTGGATGCTTTTGGAAGGCTCCTGTTCTGGGACTTCCTGGGATGACCGTGAGTTGTTGCAATCTTTCGCGCCGATAAGGGGAGAATTCACCACTGTCCAGTCCCAGTATTGATGCCATGTGTTTAACGTTTTGTTTGTGTCAACTCTTCGTACCTTTCTGCAACCATGCTGTCGTCCATAGCCAGTTTGAATACCACTGAGGTGCACTCTGACTTAAGGGACCCATGGAAGTCCAAAAGGGTCCCAATAGGAAGTCTATGGCATCGTACATCGTCCTTTTACTAGTAGCAAGGACGCCATTAGGTTGGAGGCCATCGCAAGTAGGTTGGAGGCCATCACTACTAGGAGCCAGAAGCTACTTTAGTAGCAAGGACGCACGTCATGTTCTTTTTGCACGGAGACTCGATCTCCCGACGAGCTCGAGAGGAGACGGAGGAGCTCTTTCAGCAGGACGCGACATCGCTGACACGTCGGAGGACGTTCCTACGTGGTGCCTTGGCGCGCTTCAAATGAGCTCCTACCGATGGGCATGTGCATGGGCTGGTGACATGGGGCTATCCGCAGCTAGGACAGCAGTTGGTAGTACACTTGTGAGTACATCACCTACAACCCTTGCCCCTTAGAATCCTACAAGGGATCACAGTGGAATGCCGGCGGATAAGTTTCCACCCCGAAGTGAGTTTAGAATATCAGAATTTAGTTCGGGGTGGAATCTAATCTGCCAGAATTCTATTGGGATAGAGAAGTGGTGTCAATTACATTCTCGAGTGAAGTTGTTACCAAACTTTCTCCTCCTGAAATATGAATTGGCGATTCCAATTCATGACATATATCTTGTGCAGGTATGTGCAGGTTATTTTGCTAAGGATGAAAGGCGATAGGCGATAAGTGATAAGGCTTCCAAGACATGTTTCTCGGGTAGCTCGCACCGATCTCGGTGCGGCCCATGTGGATGCGTTGAGTTCGCGACCCTACCGCCCAGCCAAGTGGCTGGCGAGCCATGCAAAAGACCTAAAAAGGATGGCGAAGGTGATTCAGGTGTTTGCCTTGTCCAGTCAAATTTTGGTTTACTCAACTCAATTTAAGTGCCCTTCTGGGATAGAGAGCGGCCTCAGCAGTTTCACGAGCATGCCCATGTTTGCACCTTCATGCTCTTGGGTAGAGACCGTCCTGCGTATTAGGAGAAGGGAATCCAACAAGTACAGTTGTTCTCGAAGGACCTACTTGCAGGTTCAAGGCTTTAATTGGCGTTTCCGACTTGAAGACCAGAAAATCCTCCACTAAGGAGATCATTGTCCATGTGGTTTGTCCAGTGTTGCTGGATATATGACTATATTGATGTTCAGACTCTTTTTGGCGGTCGGGTGCCCATGATCTCATGCTTGGAGCACCAACATGGGTGGTTGGTTTTAAATGGGAGTGTTGATGCGTGGCAAGTTGCAAAAGGGAGTTGGGCTGGTTGAATGAGCGCCGCCCCGCCAATGATATAATACGCCTTCGTGTCCGCAATGACATCCTTTTCGTTGGCCTGTGTGCAGGTCAAGCATGTTTAAGGCTTTGGTCTTTTGGGATCGTTTCCATTTAGCTTACCGCACAGGCAAGCAATGTGATTCCTTAGAAGGACAGCGCCATGATCATGATGGATCAATTTGGGCAACCACCAAAGGCAGGGTGACTGGTGACCCTCGACTTTCACAGCTGCGAGGCATTCAGAAGCGGGTGCACCCCTCTGCCACTAACTACTGCATTGAGGACTCTCCAATGGAACTGGGAGCAGGGTGAACCACCGCATTGAGTCACGCGGCCGAACACGCGGCCTCGCATACCTGGTGACACAAAGCTCATTTTTGCCTCAAAAACGGTGAGACTGAAAACCGCCCTCGATTTCATCGCCGGGTCGCCACCATGGGTCGAAATGGCGGGTCTTGGACGTTTTTTCTGCAGGAAGAGACCGTGACCGAGGACAGTGAGGTCGGGAAGATGGGATGTTTGTTGCACTCCACAGGGCGGAACCTGTGATCCGGAGTCTTGGTTTCTTGCAGAGCTTGGCCCAAAACTGGCAGCTGTGTGAGGTGCCGGAGTTGAAGTGTTGATCCCACGGATCCCCACTGATCTCACCTTTTCAGATCTCTCCAGATCCTTCTGATCTCACTAGGCATCACCTGACTTGCTACCCACGTGGCTCGCCACGTCATCTCCCAGGCGACCGGCTCACGCTCCGACGTCTCCGTGGACAGCTGGTTCCACACGCGCGGTGCCCTCGGGCCGAGTCGCCGAGCTCGAGTCGGTACACCCAGCGTTCGATGCCGAAGAGGAGTCCAAAAAGCCTTATTAAGATGTGTTTGGTCAACGTCACGTAACCGAAAGCTCTAACCGAGACACGACCCATGGGACTGCCTACATGGAATGCCGCCCCATTGACCCCCAAAACCACCCCAACTGATCGGCATATATGGCATACGTGGAGTGTTTGGGTAATATGACTATAGATCATACTGCCCGCAGAGAAGTATGGAATTCTCGCATGGTTTGATCGCAAAGGGGGTGCTTGGTGAAGTAACGATGCTTGACGACGTGTGAAAGCCCTTTTCTCTTACCACTTTCTTCACCTAGCGGGCAGAAACTGGAAGCCCCTTGTCACACTGTCTTCTTTCAACCCTCTTTTGCACTGTGCTGTGGGTCTCCCCCAACCAACAATCATGTGATTGCACACATTTTGAAGGGAGACCGGACCCTGAACCAGTGACTGTTTCTTGTTTGACTGGTCTCCCCCATGTCGACGCACCAGACGACCGGACCCTGAACACGTTCCACTCGTTCCTTCTCGACAACAAGCGAGAACTCGCTTGTTACACAAAGAACGGACCATAAGTTGCACACCAGCAGAGGTTTAATTCTGTAGAGTTAATGACAGTACTATAATATAGTTTGTAGAACTTAAGTAAAACTGCATGTGTTTCATTCAGATGACTCATGAGAAACGCAAACAAAAAACATAGTACAATGCAATTGCAATTATTGACAAGATGGTTGATTGAGTAGATGGTTGTTAGACCGTTCGCCCAAACAATCAAAAGAATTGCACCCTTTTGTCACCTTTTTTCACTTCAACATCTAAATCCCCTCCAGAATCCGCCAATCTTTTGAGTCCACGGTCCATGTCGGCCGGATCTGGAACACCCCCCCCTCCTGCCCCAAACACCAGCCCACCCCTTCATTCAAGCCCTTTTGGCTCCCAAAAACGGAAACGCACCTGCTTCGGAGGGCGTTTCCGCTTCGCAGGACCCCCGGTCCGCCCGGAGCTGTTTCATGGCAGGTTGGGTCCGTGCGGCCACGTCCATCGGCTTCGACCACTTGGGACCCCAGCCGGCGCTCATGCGCCGCATTGGGCTCCTCAGATGACCGGAGTGGTGAAGGGGTGTATATAGGGGTGAAGGTGGGGCGGGAAGTGTGGGGGGGTCAAGGCTTCCGGGTGTGTGGGGGTCGGTCGTTTTTCGTTTTTGTTGATGGGGGGGGGGGGGGGGGGGACGGGGGGGGAGGGGTGGGGGGGGAAGAATTGGTTGGATGACTTTTTCTGGCGGCGTGTTGGTCTATGGCAATGGCATACATGCAGCTGAAGGTTAAGGTTGGTCAAGAAATGGTCTTCCAGGTTATTTCCTATACTATGTGACCCTGACGGGTTCTGTTTGAACATGCAACCTCAAACTATTTCCCACCCCCGGCAAGTTTCAAAGAATAGCATGGTTTGCTGATGAACGACCAGTTTCAACAGCCTGGGAAAAAAACTGATAGCCAGGTGATAAGTCTTATAGACTTTAAGCGTGAGCCGATTTTTTGACCTTCCTGTGGGAGCCGAATTGGGACCCCCCCGTGACCTTGGGAGCCTTGCCTGGCCATATTCATCAAAAATATGCTGGCTCAATCAGTGGACGGTTGAATCCCATCACTCGATTGACAAGCGTGGTGCCCTGTTGTTTTTTGTGGACCTACTTTGCTTGCGATTGTTTGCTGACTCCATGCGGTGTGTTCATTATATACATGCACACCTTAAACCTCAGTCTATTCTTGGATCACCAACCACCCAGAACATGGTTCTTTCGTCATTAGACACAGGGAGATTTTAATCATCGGCACTTGCCTGGCTGGATATGCCACAGACCTTGCTGCTGTAAGGTTAGTGTGCATGTCAATTTGAAGTCTGGTCAAACATGGTCAAACTGAGTAAGACATGCCCGAAGGCATCCTTGAAAAGTAGGCTTGGCTTCCTCTTGCCTGGTGGCTTATTCGTCAACGGTCAACGGTAGTTATATAGCGTCTTTGGCCCGAAGATTCCAACAAGATGGGGGCCAATATTGTGTGTCAGATTGAATATTTAGAGCATTTCAAACAATTGTTGTCGAAGGCATTCAAGACTTTGACCAGAATCATGCACTGTCAGAGGGTTCAAGAATGATCAAAAATGTTCAATGCTAATGCGACCAACGTTAAACCTCTTGAAAGTAAGCACTACTAGCCTGTTTAAAGTGACCTTTACTTCCTAGCTTTTGAAGCCTCATAGCTCACCTCAAAGCGGGGAAGCAACAGCTCACCTAAGACATTCGGTCCCGGCTGTACGGTACCCACGGTCCCATAGCCCTCGGTCGCGGGACACTGGGACACCGAGGGTCGCGGAACACCGAGGTCTGCTTGGAAAGAGATACAAGCAATGAATCACAACGATGCCCTGTGACCGCTTCCCATTTCAACTGGTGTGAGTGTGACATCTTAGTCTTTTTTGTTTTTGTCGTGAGGCCTGGCCTCTTACGCAATGTCACCACGGAGCTTTTGTTTCTACTTTAGTCCTATAGCCACATGAGGAGCTCCCTGCTGTGTTTGGATCACTGGTGGGAAATCCAATCGCATCTGGACGTTTTGGGTCACTGGCTCGGTCACCGGAGCAACCAGCTCACGTCTCAGACAATGAAACGATGGTCGGACCACGGAAAACGAAGACCAGGAAGGGCTGGGACACTGCTTGGTCACACTCTTTTGGAATGAGGAGGGGTGAACTACCCAGGCGGAAAAACGGAGAGCGGCCTGGCCGAAGAGTGGATGCCAAATCCATCCAGAGGACCAAAGTGTCTCTGCAACCGATTTCCCTGCCCTTTCAGTTGTACCATGTTGTACCTGTGGCAGGGTCGGATGCCCCATTGTTCACCACTGCATGGCAGTAAGTCGGTTTAATGCCAGCAGTGGTCCGGGCCGCACCGGCGACCATCGACGGAATCGGCCGCGGCGGACCGGTCCATTGAAAAGAGCGGCCGTGGGATGAGCATGCGAAAAGACGACCGCTTGGCCGTGCTTGGACAGAGCATGGGCTGTGGTGTCATTGACAAGCTTACAGGTTTGATGATGTGGAATATCAAGACATAGCCTATAGCCTTTGCAGTTTATAACGCTGTCTCGGGAATGACACGTCACAGCCACACAACTACCCCTGCTCTACCGGTTGAAGTTAGGGGGCTCTTCCACACTGCTGACGAAACACTGCTGGCTCCCGCACCTGACGATCAAAGCCACTCCCCATTGTTCACGTTCATGTATCGTGGAAGTCAGGTTTTGCTCGTCCATCACGGTCCATCGGGTTAAGGGGCTGCGCTAACGCATCCCGCCCGCGCGCGCGTTTTTTCTCCCAGAACTCGATCAGTGTGTTTCACCGACTTGCATCCGAGTGGCACTGACAGGACAGGTCGGGATCCTCATTCAGCATCAGCACCTCCATCTATCATCCCAGACACGAACCTATAGGACGTAATTTGCTCACCCGCCCTTCACGGATCGGGAGAAACTCATGCCAGTCCCATGAGTCATGTTAGAGATCTTCCTCTTTGTTGACCTCCCTGTCGAAACCACGAAGTGAAACTCCACCCACTCGTGCGCTGTCCTCGTCTTCGTAGCTGCGCCTAGGCCTGGCCCTAGCACTCTTCGTCGTGCACACCGCGCTGAACTCCGCCTTCATGGTGCACAGCCTGGGATCGGGTGACGGGAGGAAACAAACCATTTTGACCATTATTGTGGCGACCCTTTGGATGAGTCTGTGCTGGTGACGGTTGATGAACAAAGACGTACACTAGTTCATATAGACTTTGGATATTGATAATGCTCCATAAAGAGGATGTCTAATTCAATTGGAGGGGAATTAATCAAGAGTCTACCTTATAAATCCGTCTTTGACATTTTTGACCAGTAAGACAGTAAGACTCTTTCTTTTCCCATTAATGGAATCAATGAATTAATCTCTGCTTCAATTAATACTGGATGGTCCAAGATTTGGATGATTCTGGATGGGCGGGTGATGCCATACGGAGCGATGCCATACGGAGAACGAAGCTGGGCGACTTGACCCACCGGGGAATCAAGCCGCGGCTTGAGTCGAACAACGGAGAACACGGCTCATGTTGACGTTTTGATTCACAAAGACCACCATTTGGAGTGTAAAACCGCATCAAGAAAAGGGGGTATTGTTCATCTAACACTCTACAAGTTGTGCTCACCCAGCCCAAGGTATGCCGGTGACAATCGTCTGAAGACTCACTCTTTACAGCTTGCACCACTGCATGCAAGACAAGGTGCAAGGCTAGTCAGTTCGAGAGTGACAAAGACAGCAATGTTGTTTTTTCAGCTTAAGCTCTTACAGAATATAATGAGCTTTGAACTGTATTGAATTGAACCTGCCTCTGAAAAACACACGTGTAAAGCCCCAATGTGGTGACTATACAACAGCAAGTTCTGCTTGATCCCTTGCAAGTGACGCGTCAATATACAAGCAAAAAGACACTTTCTAAGTGTTTTAGCTCGCGCGCCAACCACTCCAAGCTGACACACGTCGTCGTGCAGGGTGGAGACCCCGCCAAGCAACGAACCAGCTGGGGAGCCCGAGGGGGCCCGAGCGTTTGGCTGGGTTTGGTTTGGGCTTCAGACAAGCAAACCTTGGACACCCTGAATCACCCTAAGGGGCTTTGAATAGACACCCCAAACATGGGGCTTTGGTATAGGGCGATGGCTTTGGTGAGGTTGACTCCACCACTGAGAATGGAACAAAGTGTTTGATTCCAGCTGCAGTTGGGAACGTGTCATTGACATTTTGGTGAGTACAAGCAGCAACTCAACATAACTCAACACTGACAGACGAACAACATCAAAGCTCTGAAAATGACTGATGACCATTGAGGGGAATCTGCAATACTTTGATTGGACTGCCGAAATGAAGGTAATTGCCTTGAATATTAAAATCGAGGAACAAGATAAAGCAACTATCATTCTTCTCGCTGGCTCGCATCCCCACTGTTCAGTCACTTTTCCAACTGTTCTTTTTCCTATTTCTGCAGAGATCCTGTTTGGCCCCATCTACTTGTGAAAACCCTGGGCGCCCCATGTCCATGTTTCACTACTTGGAGCCACGAAAAGTGTGCAAGGCCAGTATGCCGAAAAGTGGAAGGAGGACGAAACATGTGGGGAGAGTCATCCGGTGCCTTCGTTCCGGATGACGACTCGTGCCCTGCCCGCTGCGACGCGTTGGGGGGGTACGTCGGGGTCTTTGTGGGCTCAACTTGTTCATCAATCTTACGTACGGTATCTTACAGAAATCCAGGTTGGGCAATGTTTTGCAGATGGGGAGCAGGCAATTCACTGCACTGCACAGATGTAATCATGATGAAACGACTGGCGGTTTTGGCATCAGAAGATAAGACAACCTCCTTCAGCAATCCCGATTCCGGAGGTCTATCAATGTCATGAAGAAATGAAGAAATGCGGCAACCAGTGCAGCCTTGATGAATAAGTTCAGTCGGTCCAATGCGTGCAGACCTGCCCCATCTACTTCGAAGTCGGCGCGAGTTTCCTAGCGATAATGTGTGAGGATTGTCACCTACCCTGGGCGATCATCGACAAAATTGCTTTGGTAAGTCACAATCAAAGGCAAAACCAGTCAAACCAAAATAACCAAAACCATATTCTCAACAAGCATCCTGGGAAGACCATGTGCTCCAAATCATTTGGATGGCCCGTGTGATCTGGCCATACCCCCGTGCAGGACCCCAATGATCCACGATGGAAGGGCCGGAAGTTTGAGTGGTTCTTCACTGAGCAAAAGGAGGACTCGACGAGCGACACAACTCGCTCCGGAGCGTGACGAACTGTCTAGGGCACCGTTTTCGGGCCAGGGGTCAGGCTTGTGCTCCGGCTCTTCTGCCGCCAGTTAGCTTCAGAATCCTCTACTTGTTGTCACTCTTCTTTTTTGGGGGGAGGCTCGTTTTCTATCGCGACGGCCGGGCGATAGGTTGGTGATGGGTTGAGGGACGACCCTTCAGCATGTACCCCTGGGCCAAGCCATAAACCACCACTTCTGCAGATCCCTGGCCTTAAAAGTAACGGCCGACTGGTTAGGGGGATTTGGAGAGAGGAGACCACCCCCAAGTGAACGAACTCCTCTATGTTGTTCCTAAAGTTAAAGGGCATCATTGGTGTGGGAGTTGACTTGTCTAGTGCACACAGGATTTGATGATTCATGTGGCTGAGTGGCTGCGTGGCTGTGGAACTGGCAGACGTTTTCGCCGAAACCCATGGAGTGAAACAGATGGAGCTGGCACCGACTTGGGGGATGGAAACTGATGGACTTCCCAGGTGGCCCGTATTGCTTCGCAGACTGTCCTAAGGATCTGAAGGTTGCCAATGCTTGGCCTGTAGATACTCCTCCGCAGAGTAACTTGGAATCTGAAAACCACTGGGTTTGGGATGAACACAGTCTTCCACAAGCCGATTCTCAGGGTCCATGTTAGTTTGTGTGGGGGGTACATGCGCCACGCATATAATTACCGCACCTGTCGGTGCATCTACTTGAATTGATAATCGATTTTCCTCACCCACTGTTGCCCATGCCCTTGAATTGATAGATCTCCTTTTGACTCTCCTCAAAACAATTCAATTCATACAGATTTCTGCTCAGATTGATTGCAGGACCCGATTATTTGTTGGGGCCGGATCTGATTTTGGTCCATGTTGTTTTTCATCTATCAAACACAAGGGGGATTTGGTCCCTCCTCTCTTTTTCCCTGCGCCGGCTCGCGAAAAGGACATCAAGTTGTCCAGCCTCCCGCGGCCCAGCTTTTTGCCGCCAGAGTTCTGGGAGGCCGACTGGTACCGATCCTAAGCTCTCTTATTCTCTACTGAGCACCCGTTAGAAGACAAAAGTGTAGGTTACCTAGCATGTCGATTGGGTGAGCAGGTGTTTGGTCATGGAACCTGACATTGCAGTCGGGCACAACTATATATTATATTGGGTTTGTCCCATTACCTATAACAGTCGGTAAATCGGTAAACAGCTATCACATGCTATCACTATTTTAGCGAAAGGTCTTTACTGACCATCATCACCCCTTGCTGCAGTAATCGGATATACGTGCACGGATTTATACGATACCTGCAACCCGAAACGACAACTTTATATATTTTTTTAATTATTTTTTGGTCGTTTTTGAAAACAACCATTGTCTTTCGTCGTTTCAACACAATATGGTCGTGGATCGAAAAATATACGGTCGTTTCCAGAAATATACGGTCGTATACGATCGTATACGATTTCACAAATCAACTGCTTGATATGCATTGTGCATGATGTACTATTTGAACATCATCATAATTGACAAAAATACGGTCGTTTAAGAAAAGACCATTTTTTATGGTCGTTTTAAACATATACGGTCGTTTGAAGAAACAACCAAAAAAAAGTGGTCGTTTCAGGTTGCAGGTATATAATATCCCTAGTGCTCCAGTCGTACCTCCTCGGTATTATAGACTCTCCTGGCACACCCCAGCCCATGCCCACACGACTGGAGCCCAAACGGGATATGTTATAGATGTTTGATATACCAACGGTACGACTGGTCCTTTCAGCTGAAAGGGATTAGTACGTAGGGTGACAGATTCACAAAGATTCAGAGAAACGCCCAGCGAGGCCTTTTACGAGAAGGGAGTGTTCATCGCCGTTTTCCAGACGATCACCTTGCTGCTCGGCATCGGCACACGCAGCCAAATCCCCCACAGAGGCAAAACCCATCCTCCACATCAATGAACATGAACAGGTGTCCAATCCAAATGGGAGGGGAGTTGATGAACTACGCCAGATGTCCCTGGAACCGTTCATACGGATGAGTCACGGCTGCTTTCATTTGGCCGGGATGCTCACGTGAGATGCAATCCGTCGGTCCAGGACTGGACTGAGGATGGCTTTGGAATCTTTGGAATGGTTACTATTTGTGACTTTTGTGATGTACAAAAAATATGCACCAGGAGTCACAAAGGGGTGCCGAACTTGGAGGTTAAGGGTGCCCAGAACATCCACTCACTTAGGGACCAAACACCACCCCTTTGTGACCCCTGGCATGCTATTGTCGTTTCTATGTTCAAAGGCACGAAGGTTTTCCAGCGAGGCTAGTAACTAGCATACTTAGCTGGTAGGATAGTCTTTCACTCTTGCATGATGGATATCACTAAAAGAAACATAGAAAAAATGTAGGATTCCAACCATGGTTTTACTTTTCATTCCCTGTGCCCCGAAAACACGGTTTACCAAGGTCCACCGAACTCGTTCGGAAGAAAACCTCTTCGTCCCAAATCCGTCGGAACCAGGTTGAGTGGCTTCGTGGTGATATTCCTTTTCGCCAGCGGTGCCCAGAGCGAGCGGCGTTGCCCTGGGGCGCCGTCTTCCGAGACCAAACCTGAAAACCACCGGAGGTTGTAGAGGAGAACAGTCTTCCAGACTGGTCCATGTTTGGTTTCCCATGGGGTACTCTCCTGAGTCTAAGTCTAAGGAAGAACGTTCGGTCACGGCATCCCGGTCTCAAGAGGTCTCAAGAGGTCCAGGTCTTCTTGAAGATGAGCTGAAGGATCCCGTGACCTGATTCTGCGCGGGCCAAGTTTCAGATCGGATCAAGGGCTTGACCTGGGAGCCTCCTTCCGAAATGGAATTGGTCCCCACAGTCATCCACTGATGTTTGATGGGGCTTGTCGGTGTTCGTGTGAAAGGGCCACCTTGGGGTGCTTGGATGGGTGGATGAGACTCACGAACTGGGAGCTCCAATTCAGGCAACACAGCATCTACTTCGGCACGTCAGGCGTTCACTCCCAGGCGTGGCGGCCCGGCACCCCGCCTCGCTCCGTGGCCTCGCCCATGGAGCACCTGGAGCCGGTGCTGCAGGAGCGGCCGATCGAAGGAAGTGCCTCGGTGTGTCCGGTCGACCGGCTTCGAAGCCCAGTTGGTAGGCAGCACTGTGGCCACAAAGCTACTATTATGTATAATATAGAAATATTTGCATGCATACATATTTACCGTATTTTACTGTGTCATTATGTTGTTCGAATACGTTTGCATAGAGAGAGAATCTCTAGGAAGAACTGGTTACCATCTCAGAACCTAGTAGCTGGACACTCTTGAAGGAGCTACGCTCAGAACTTAGTAGTCAGGAGCACTAGCATCAAAGGTACAACAGCTGCAACGTGAGGGCTGCAGATGAACTGGAGCGTCCTGACGTTGCCTGAGAGTGCATGCAACTGCTTGCGTCCACTAAGGCCCAATTGGGTACGTGGAGACTACGACTGATCTGGAAGCCTGTATGGGGTGTCCCGAAGGATTCCAGGAAATCGAGCGGCTTGACGCCCTGCAACAGCTGGAGGACTCTTTGGAAGAGGAGAAGGATGGTGTGGAGAGGGCCAGGGAACTGGCGGACAGGATGAGAAGCTTGTCGGATCTTAGTACTTGCCATGTGGACCCATGTGGGCAACCATTTGCCGACCCCACTGGGGGGCTTGGAAACTCCTTGTTTTCGTACAGCCATGCATCTTCTCCATTGCATGTGCTTCCACCGGAGATATGAAGAGTTCCGCTAGGAATTTCCACCGAAACGTGTGAGGCTCCATGGAGCCATTGTATCCGGAGATTCTCCGTGCCAGCACCGCGGCACGCGCCCTTCGCTTCGGCGCCTGGCCTTTGCGAAGGCCACCACAGCTAACGCCACGGGAGGCCACCAAGCCTCTTGGAAGTCTGGTAAGAATGGGGTAGATAGTGTAGGCAGCTAGACCCAAGTCCAAGCACTGCTTGGCCCCAGGAAATGTCACTCAAACTTGTCGCCAAGCTCCCACTGCGGAAGGGAATCAACTATGGGCCTTGGGTGAAATGTTTGTTTCCGTGTGACAGCTTGGACCGAAGACCATGACTTGCCGCTTGTGCAGTTGTTTTGACCAGAGCGGGTGCCAAATCTGTGGCAAGTCCAAGGGCTTCACTCAAGTGTTCTCCAAAAGTTGCAAGGTCAGTTCCCTTACATGGCCAGATGGTGGAAAAGGTGTGTTTCTTTTCGTATGGCTCTAGGGTGCATCTGCGCCCACCCTTGTGGCGTGCAAGGTTGGAACTTCAATGCGGTGGGCTATCTAGGCTGCGATGTTTGGTTTCTAGAAGACATGGCCAACGAATGATGTACACCCCGGAAAATTAACATGGAACCTGAAAACCAATGGGTTGTAGAGGAAAATAATCTTCCAAAGGTCGATTTTCAAGTTCCATGTTAGTCTTCCTAGGTGTACTATTTATGTGTTTAATGGCCTTCTCCTCATCGGTCGCATGTAATCCGTTTTGAGGCTGTATGGGCAGAGCTCGCTTGCAACGTCGAAGGACTTTTGGAGTCACAGTTGGCATGGCCATGTGCGGTGGAAGGTCGGAGGTTATCCGTAACGCATGGTAAATATGACATATGAAGCATGTTATATATGCTGTTAATGTTTTCAAGACAAATCATTGAAATCTTCATTTGACTTATCCATTTGGCACATGTTAGAGGAAATTACTCATCCCAAAGCGTAAGACAAGAAAGAAGAAGACAGACAGACAGACAGACAGACAGACAGACAGACAGGCAGGCAGGCAGGCAGGCAGGCAGGCTGGCAAGCAGGAAGGCAGGCAGGCAGGCAGACAGACAGACAGACAGCCAACAAAAGCACATACCACGGCTGCCTAGAATGGGTGAAAAGACACCCCAGTGGACATCCCTGTAACAGGGCCCTTTATTAAAGATACCCTAATTACCCGGTGGCCCTGATAGTCGTGCCGCCTGTTGCAGGTGGCTTTGTTGTTGATGCTTTACAACGGGCCCGCGGCGACGGTCCTCGGCGCTGGCGGGGCCTTGGTGATGTTTGTCCTTCACAGTTGGGCGCTCCTGCCTGGCTGGGAGCAAGCGCCCAAACGGGTCGGCATGGACGTCCAGGTGGGGCGTTGGAAGGTCCGAGCCAATATAAGTAAGATATATAAGATATATAGTGGTTTCCAAATAGATAGACAATGTGTCCGATACATTTTGAGTGGTGCTTTTCTATCTATGTTTTTTTTTGGGGGGTATGCTTTTACTGTGTGTTACTTCAGACAGCAAAAAACAGGGGGATGGATCGAGGCGAATGTGCGTTTTCTCACATTCCATCAAAATTTGGATCCCAACCACAATCTTGTGTAACAGCATCCTGACTAGGCACGGAACTAAAACCATGGCAAAGTGGATGTGAGAAGAGTCACGCGTATTAGAAGGCCATCCAAGCAGAACATGTTGGCCACGTAGACGCGTCAGGTGACCTTGGTTTTTGCTCCATGGTCTTTGCTGGTGGGTTTCATTGTTTTCATCTTGGTCCTCTTCATGTGGCAGTCGCAGCGCACCATCTTCCTGGATCGCATGTGTATCCACCAAACGGAAGCCAAAACCAAGGCGGCGGGCCTCGTGAGCATGGGAGCATTTTTGAAGAACTCCGAAAAGTTTCTTCTACTTTGGGATGACACCTACGTGTCTCGCTTGTGGTGCATGCTAGAGTTTGCGGCATTTCTGAAGAGTCATGGGCCTGCCGCAGAAGAGAGCATTGTCATTAGGCCAATGATCACTGCTCCTTGTATGCTGGGATTTGTCCTTGGCACGGTCCTTACTCTCGCAATTTGGGTTTCAGTGCCGCGGTTGACCATTCCGATCCTTCTCCTGATCTTTGCGACACGCCTCGTGGGCTTCTATCTCGCCGCCGGGGCGCTGCGCGAGCACTACCGTAGCTGGCATATTCGGCAAGCTCGTTTTGGTTTCACGCAGGAAGGAACAAGAGAACATCACTTATTGCACAGTCATGGTGAGTCACTTGTTCATGCAACCTTTCTTTTCTCACGTCGCACATGTCATTTTGATTTTGCGTTCATGCTTGCTTTGGCGGGAGCGAGGCGGGCAGTTAAGGCAATGCAGAGATTTTACTCGACCAGCTGTCCAGTTTCTCCATTCAAGGAACCTCTTGTCATTGTTGCAGCACTGGACACTGTGCCGAGAGCAAGCAGCGCTGTGATCGGGTGATCATCTCCAAATGTATCGAGAGCTGGTTTGGCTCTGTCAAGGACTTTGAAGACATCGTGAAATCCTCTATCAGGTCCATGCTTTACCGACAATTGGGCGGCAAGCTTTTCCCCTATCGATGCTTGGCAGGGATTGAGATCTAGCTGCGTAGCTATGATGGATCGGCATAAAGTGAATCTGGCAGATGCTGAGGATGGATTTTAGCGAGCTCCTCGCCGATCTTGTGGGGCTTCATGGACATGTCCTCTCCACGGCTCCGCGCAAAGGAGTGGCTGGAGTTTTGGCACATCGTGATCCTTGGATTCGGCTGGTGGTTGTGCTTCTTCCCGGCAGCTTCTAAGCAGGAATTCAATCATGTTTGATGTACTGTTGAGTTACTGGTGTCCAAGAGCTGCGAGCAGCCTCAGGGTTTGGCTCCTGTTTGGCACATCCCCAATACCAAGATGTCGCAGCGGCTGATGTTTTGTCAGTCCTTCCCATGTTTCACACTCTCACGGGGGTGAAATCCCAGCGGACGAACCCTGCCTCGTTGGCTTCGGAACTTCTGAGGTGGTCTTCTCGACCCTTTGGCTGGCTCGCTTCATGCGTGCACGAGCCAGCCGGGCTTGGGTGGATCATCTTGCCACCTTGAGACTTGGCCGACTTGGCTTCAGAATGTGGGCAGGAGTTTCGCAAGTAACCACCGGAGACGTTTGAATGCAAATCCATTCACTTTAGTGGTGCAGAACAGTAGCACCAAGCAGATGTACCTCTTTTTGGAAGAGGACGGACCATTCTGTTGCCCTTTTTCCACCTCGGTGTTGGCCGGGCGACTATGGGTATGGGTTCAAGCAGACCGTGTAATTAGCCAGTAGTGGGGAATTCACCAGCGTCCTGAGGGTCCTCAACCCATGGGCATCCATGGGGCCATACTTCTTTACGCCGGTGATTGGAAGTTCTGAAGTGCAGAAGGCCTGTTGACCACCCTTGGTCCACCTGAAGTGTGAGCCGAGGATGGTCTCTTTCTGTATCACGTCCGCCACGCTTCTGGGGAACTATTACCACATGGGTGCTTGGCCAAGAATAAGGAAGTCCAGGTGATGGGAATCAGATAAGCAGATAATCTGGATCTTAGGATGTGGAGACTCCAAACATGAAAGCACATAATGGCGAACATGAATCTCCAATGGCAACAATCCAAAAGACGTTTGCTGCTTACATCTATTTTCTGTTCTGCGGCGTTCAGCAAAATCATGTCACCCATTGTGTTGACGAGTGAAAACCGGTCGGATTCACACCTCGTAAACCCTGGAAGTCCAAGACAAATCAAAGATTTGTTGCTGACCGGGTAGAAGGAGTTTCCGTTACTCCGGTGGTGCTAAAAGTAGTCTTCGAACTTCTGGGACCACCAGCAGGCTCCAAAATCTTAGAATCTAGGAAAATCGATTTATTTTGGAGCACACTGGTCATTTCAGAGTTGGTTCGACGGAAGCTAACACGAAACGCCTCAGGATCAGGGCCCCTCCAGAGCTCAAAACGTGCAATAACCATCAATGCCCAACCACCCACTTGCAAGGAAAAGCCAGCTACAAATGCCTCCAGGCCACAGACCTGTAGATATATTTGCTAGACCTACTTTTCTGGATCTCAGATCAATGCACCGCACTCTGTTCAACCAAGCCCTTGGCTCGTGTTCAAGCAAGAATCGGCCGTTTTCAGGATTTGGGGTCTGAGGAATTGATGCGTGGTATTGCTGGTGACAGGGCGTTCAAAGCCCTTAGCAGTAAGGCTTGCGGCAGTGGCTGCCATTGCCGCTGGGGGCCTTGGTGTTTAGCAGCACGGAGCCTGGGAAGCAGCCTGCTGAAGGCATGCCTTGGGCCGTTGGAGGGGTGGTGACATCTGAGGTGATAGACTTCTTCAACTGGGGCTGATGTGCTCCAATTTTTGTGGTTGGTCGGATTGGGAATGGTCAGAAGCTTTGGTCCTAACACTGAGAATTGCTCAAGAACAAGGGGGGCTCAAGAGGAGGAGCCAACGAATACCAAGACAAACTAGCTTTCAGAGAAAGAGCCGCTGTCTAAGTAGGGGAGTCAAGGATCAGGGGAGTGACTACTCAAAGAGCTCTAAGTCACACCATTTATATATGTTACTGTACATCAATGGATACGAATATAGAATATATTGCTTGCCAGGGCAGAGGCCAATGAACCCCTGGTGTTTTGTGTCACTCTTCATGTTTTTCTTTATTGGTTTCTCAGCGTTCTTACTATCAACAGCATTTGGGAGTAGAAGAGCTAAGCATGAAACAAAATGCAACCTGAAGAGCAGAAACAAGGACCTTCAGAATAGGAAGATGTGAAGAAGAGGGTCAGAATATGTAAGGATCAAATTGCCCCAGAAAGAACAACCAGATGAGAGTTTGGGTAAACCATGGCAAACCAATTTGACTAAGTAAAGGCCGAATACAAACACATAAGAAAACTGGTACCTGACAATCTAATCAAGGAAGGGTAGTTAGAAGAAGAGGAGCAACTATTTTGCAGATTGTCACTGTCAGGTGTCAATATGTTTTGGCAAAGGCTTTCAGGATTGTTGGTGGAGAAAAGGCAAAGTTGAGGACCCCCTTAAGTTTGGTTTTCTATTCCGTATATTTCGCGCACAATTTTAAAGCACAAAGCTCCAAGTAGAAGCGCCTCGTGCAATCTCCTCTATAGACTGCACATTGTAACGTGGGCTATCCCCAAAGCCAACATTGAAACATGCTTTGGGGCCAAAAAGATTCTCTCTCTTTATACTGTATATATACGTAAGTCAGTATCAATTTATTTATGCATGCTCCAGAACTCCAGAAAGTCCTTGCATGTTGGAATTGTCGCAGATGTACTGAGAATGTTTAGCAGCTTAAGTTTGAGGTAAATGACTCTGGTGGTGCAAATGCTCGTACTATACGCATCAAAACGAGCCTTCGATTTTGCGACCATGCGACAACGAGCGATCAACAAGCGATCAACGACATGGTCTTGGAGACCCCAAGTGACTGGATGATGTGCACCGGAGACCCCGAGAAAATCACGAGCTCTTAATTGGAATCCGTACCACAAAGAGAACTTGTTCCGACAGGTCCTACATATCAAATTCGGCCTTTTTGCTTTCCTGATGTTTTTTTCCCACCCCACTCAGGGCTTGCTGGGCCTTGCGCCATGGATTTGGATGGCTTGGTATGGCCACCAAAGAGACCGCTAGACCTTCTCAGAACGGCCGAGATCTGGACCAGTCCGACCTGATGCCAAGATATGAAAGTCTTGTGAGATCCGACGAAGACGTTCCAGGGAAGTGGAACTATGTTGTCAATTTAGAGGATCCTTTTCCACTTAATCCAACATAAGTGGAACTATGTCGTTAAGTGGAACTATGTCGTCTTCCAACAGATCCTTTTCCACTTAATCCACGTTTTCTCTTCGTTCTCGTGACGAAATTGGAGGCGGGTGGGACGGTGGGTGGGACGAACAAAAAACAGGCGAAAATAAACTGCGTGATATAGAGCCCACTCGAGCGTCAACTGGAAATGACCCATTTCCACATAATGTTCCATTTGATTTACAGGTGTCCCACCTTCTCAACAGCCACCTCCAGCCGATTCCGAGTGCTGCCAACTGCCCAGTGTGATGTGATCACCTGGGCAGTGGCACCTCCTGCTTCCAAAGGTAGCGGGATGAGTTCCAGCCCACTTGCTTAGTGGGAAGATGTGGAATATGGTCAAGCCCTGGATCCAATAGTGCTACTTTGCCCTTCCAGTGACAGGCAACCAAGTCATTCTATGTCGAGAGCAAGGAATTGGTGGGTGTGGTGAGTGGGTGGTTTTTAGCACGAGGTCACTGGAAGGATGAACAGATATCAAGCAGGACCCATGTGTGTGACCAGCTGGTTGAGATGAATTCGGACACGAGTGATGAGGCTGCCCATCTGTTGTGTGTGTGTTTACCGAGTTCACCTCATCTCCATGGTGTCTTTTTTTCCCCTTGCAGCCGGAGCGAGGTCAGGTGAGCCCGGCCTGGTGTTTTTGTGTTTTACACTCCCATCCACTCCCCCTAGCCAACAACTTGTGGGGAACGTCTTTTCCACACGAATCGCCTCATGTGCGGCCTGGGCTCACTGCGTGTCCCCCATGCCAATGAATCTCCGTCCGGATGGGTCAGGCACGGCGGTGAAATCAGCCTTCCAATGTTGTTTGTTACGCTGGTTTTGGTCAATCACCGCTCCAGAGATGTACCGACATACAGGAGAGCATTAACATGCATGAACAATATTTGGCCCCAACAGGAGGGTGTCAGTGTATTGTGTTGGAAGGCTGCTGTTTTTTCTCATAATTCGGCCACGGCCGCCCGGCGGTGAACCACCAGGCCTAGGCTCCAGAGCCCCCGTCGTTTGAGTGTTGATTGGACGGAGCAAAGAGTTTTCCACACGGTGAGCAAGTACACTTCGATACACGATCCGCAGACACTGTCAAGGCCAAGGGGGCTGGTTATGGCCAAAATCAACACTTGGTTCTGAGACTCGGGGGTTCTGGCCGATTCTGCCACAAACTGTTGCCTTGGCTTCTGCAGAGCAGAGTGAGATCGCACGCGGCCCATGTGCGACTGAATCGGCCAGGCCCCAGGTGGGTCAAGGCAAGGTCACAGCTGCCGCCGTGATGACAAGCGATCAAGCGAGGCGACCTAACTGGTTTGGGCCGAAGCCAGAACTGAAACAGCGCCAGGCGGCCAAAAAGTCTTCAGCATCAAGGTGGTCAGTCCTTTCGCGGCCCAGGGATTCTACTGCGCTGTTGCGGCGGAGGTTCTGAATCAGCGTGTGTAAGGGTGACAGGGCGACCGGTTTCCGCTGACTCGAGCGACATTTGGAAGCTTAAGCGATATGGGAAGACGTTGGAAGTATACTGTACATGCCATATAGAGCCAGAAGCTGTGATCAACAAGGCCCCGTCCTTAGAACATTTGCGGACTATTGGGGACTACACCCAGGAAGATCCCCACATGGAACCGGGCATGGCATGGACCAGACTAGACGATTTTCCTCTACAACCCCCCGTTGGTTGGACATTTCCATGTGGGCCTCTTCCAGGTGTAGTCGTGTGTCGTCACTGAAGATATTTGTGATTCTCCTGTTTGAACAGGTGGCAGATGAGTTGCAGGGATGATCAGGTATGTATGTACAGTGGTTTCAGAGTAGATGGCACGTTTCCCCCAAGATGTCCTAGACAGATGGGGGTCCATATAGCCACGTCTTGGGGTCTGTGCCATCTACTCTGAAACCACTTATAACATTTTATTATTCTTACTTCAACTGATTTGGACTTGAGTCTTCTGACCCAGCACTTGGACGACTGGTCAGACTGCCGCCATGAACAGCACCATGAACAGACTGCTTTCAATGTCCTTACCCAACACATCCGGCCAACATCACACGTGTCAAGGACACACCATAGCAAGGATCTTAATTGTTGTTCTCGGGTGTTCTTTAGCCATTTTTTAGCCAAAGGAGCTGGATTTCGGTCTTATGATTTCGAGACATTCCGAAACCAATCACCTGCAAACCCTTGCCACCCGCCTTATTTTCCTTTATCGGGGGTCTTATGTTTGTGGACACCCTATCATTCTCAGCACACCCTGATATTGTCAGGTGAGAGTTCCTGAATTCTTTTGCCACATCCATGATGATTATTCAGTGATAATCCGATACGCACACGGGAAGCACAGAATTGACTTGAACACGCCACCTTCCTCGGACTACCAACTCATGGATCTTTTGTGCAAACCACGAGCCGTTCGAAGAAAGGCTCCCTACTTCATCAACGGAATCCTTTCGTCGCTCTTGGGCATAGGCCAGGGGCGGGCAGGATCTCCTAGGTTTGGATCCTTTAAAAGGTTTGCTCCTAGTAGCGATGCCCTTGTTACTAGTAGCATCCTTGTTCCTAGTAGTAAGGCCAGGAGCCCCTATTAGCTTCTTGCTCCTAGTAGCGATGCCAAAAACCCCTAGTAGCGTCCTTGCTCCTATTAGCGATGCTTTTAGGATTTCCGATCTGGTGGAATCCTGTGGCGACTCGAGGTCCTAGATCTACGGGGCTTGTTTGGACATTGAGATGAAAGCTGGGATGTCATATTTGTAGTCCATGATAGTTCAATCAACTATATATATATATGTTTGATCTATGTTCACAAATAAGATCTTCGAAGAGTTCAATTTGTATGATTTGTATGTCATTTCCCCAGGCATCCGCTCAGCCGTGCATTCTCACGTTTCTTCGTCCCAAGTGGCCTTCTTCAGGCCCCAGCTGAGCTGAACGCCCAGGCAGGACCCGTCAGTGGAACACGCAACACCGAGACCGGAGGATAGATGGCCTTTTGCTATATTGGTTGGTTGATTATGGTTGATTAATAGTGGGATACCCCTTGCCAAGGTCGGACATCACCGGAGGAATTTAATCATCATGTTAATATCATCAGTTCTGTTTGTCATCCCTTCGATGGAATTCTCAAGGTCCAGTTATTCTGTCATGGTCAACTTCCTCGATGGTCTCCTGATGGTTCTGTCTCAGACCATCATGAGGCGTCTCCATGGTCTCCATGAAGGCCTCCCAAAACCATCTCCTCACCCCACCACGGCGTCGGATGTCGCGAAGGTCAGCCCGGCGTGTTCTGAGTCTCGGCCGCCGTGGAGCAAAAAGGTTGGCGCGCGTGGGGAGTGGAAAGGAGCACCCTCCGAGCTCCAGGCGGGGAGACCAGCTGTTTAGTCTGACTGTATAGCTGCACACAGAGTCTATCACTTAAACTGGCCCGAGTATTGGGGAACCCCAACATATCCCAAACCAGGGGTGCCACACTGTAATATGTCTTATATGCTCCAACTCAGCACTTTTGGGGTGAGGGCCGTCAGAAACTAGAGCGAAGGATTCTTGGCATCTTTGAAGGGGAAGCAGAGGGGCCAATCTATATCCATGTTTCACCAGCATCACTGGCCGGAGTTGGAGACGGTGCACTCCAAACTCCAAACCACAAGCGACTGAAATTCTGGGTGCGTTTCCTGGGCCAGTTTTACTAGGGTACCTTGGATGTGGCGTTCATATACGCGGTATAGCGGATCACCAAATGTCCAGCACGTTGACCTCGATCATGTTTTATATATAATATATTTCTTCGTGTTGATAATCTTTTCAGGGGAAAATTGGCCAACATTTTTTTAAAGTCAGACTTCCTGCAGGTTGGGGGTCCAGGGATTGAGTCGTTCCGAACACGGCGGAGCTCCGCCTGTCCAACGAGCTCAGCGTGGCTCGAGCTCCGCGGCGCCAGAAACGCACGCAGCGCCATGAACGGCGAGTGGCGGCCGCCGGCAGCCGCTTTGAAGTTGGAACTGCGAAGGGTGGGATATATGGTATGGATGGTACAGTGTTCTTGGTGTTGATTTGCTTGGTAAATATAAAGGAGTTGTGATTTAGCTGAGTGTTGAGGGAAACAGATCCCAAAGGTTGTAGTTGCAATTGAGGCTGAGACATTTGATATGTAGCGACTTTTCAATGAGAAAGTGACTTTCTTAGGATATTTGATGTCAGAGGGCCTTGGGTTCCGTCTTTCCGGTTCATGAATCCATGGGAGGATTCATGTGGTGGTTCACATCACAGAATCAGATCGACATACCCCCCTTAAGAGACATGCTGAACAGTTCGTTGGAGAACCCCATATTCCCAGAAATGCCAGGGGTACATCTCGTCTGATCGCTGCAAAGGGTGCGATGTTTCTTTTGGGGGGAGGGGGAGAAGAAGTTTAAATGAAAGACATTCAATGACATTTGACATCATTCACTATTTTCTGTGAAGTGTGCTTCTTTGGGCTTGGAGCTGGGATGCATGCAACCCCCACACCAATGCGTGATTGCAAATGCACAGGAAGGCACCAAGATGCACTAACGCTGGCTTTTAGTCGTTCTCCATTCGGTCCAAAATCCACCAATCATTTTGAGATGATCCTATACTGATTTCATTTCTAGGGGCCTCGGGAGCCAATCAACTCCGCATTGCACCAGACAAACCCAGTGACAAACCCTTCTTCCCATGCACTGCAGCCTTTGATTCTTCTTCGATTCTCCAGTGGCTCCTTCGCACGTCCGGCCGCGGGTGCCGCGGCCGGTTTCTCCCCCGAAGCTCCGGCCGACCCTCAGGCGACCGAGCGCGAGCGCGCGCGGCCGGGGAGCTTGGATTTTAAGGGGGGCCTCCAGAGGAGGCGGCGGAAGAAATCCTGCCAGTGGTGGGAATTCCCCAAATTAATTAGTCTGAGGATGTCTGAGGTGCTGCTGGTGGTACTGATGGTGATGCATCGCAGTACTGTACCTGGACGGGACGTGTCATTTATGAAAAAGGGATCGGCTCCCTACAGGTCCAAAGACGTCCAAAGACCCAGTCAAACCTCGCCCTTTACCTCATTGAGTAGTGTTG